ACCAAAGTAGCCAAGGTATCCAAATTAAGGTATACCAACCAATTAATCAAAACTACCTCCACACTTTACAACAAACGATTGCCTGATGCAGGTGTTATAAATCATATGATACAATTAATTTACACGACATGCAAATGAATCTCGATTTTTTTTTTTTTAAATCCTTGATAATGTACAAATCACTTTGTTAAAAAAAACAATTGATATTTTTTCCTATCCCTTTCCATTCATTCCATTATTTTACGAAATTCCACTATTTCTATGAGATTTCATCAATAAACTTTATTAATCCTCATCTTTTAATTGATGGAATTAATTTCATTGAATGAATACGAATGAATAAAAAAAAAATTTTTTTGTAATTTTCATACCATTATACCATTCTAATTTTTTTTTCTTTTTATTCTATTTTTATTTTATTTTTATCATAAATATTTACAAAAATTTTTTTTTTGTCTTCGTTTATGATTTCCTCTTTCAAGAAACTACTCTTATGGTTTGTTGAATGCTTACATCATAGTATCATGTGTACTGTATATTCATGTATGTATGTAGTGTATGTATGTATGTGTGTTCGTGATGTGTTCGTGATGTGTTCGTGATGTGTTCGTAATGTCTTCGTGATATATTTTAATGTATATATTTCGTATCTTATCTCGATTTTTTAATTCTATTTTTTTTTTTAATTAAAATTATTAATTCCCGAATGAATTAAAATGAATTGAATAAATTTAAATGAATTAATAAATCTAAACGAATTGGATAAATCTAAATGAATTGAATAAATCTAAATGAATTGAATAAATTTAATTATAATTTGTCATGTCAGCAAAATTCGAAAATGTAAACTCGTTCATGCTAATATTAGGATTTTGAGTAATAATTCCAAATGTGTTGAATGCATCGTTAGGTCTAGGAATTTCATTATTTAATGAAATGTCCATAATGTTCTGAGGTGACATGTTAAATTCCTGTGGTAACATGTTAAATTCCTGCGTTTGTTGTAAAGTGTGGAGGTAGTTTTGATTAATTGGTTGGTATACCTTAATTTGGATACCTTGGCTACTTTGGT